TGGAAACGCAAACCGGATGCTCACAGTTATACATCCGGTGAGAAAATGTATCTGGCTCATTGTTCTATCTGTGATAATAGGTTTTCAATTTGACAAGCACAAATGACAATTTTAACTTTAACTTTTTATTAAAGGGAAATTTCACCATGGCTCTGCCACGGCATATAGTCATTACTATTTTAACAACATTAAGTTTTTGTCATAAACATCAAAATGATCCAAATCACAAGCTAGAACGAGTTTTCATTTCACTGGTAGAATCAGGAAGTTTCGACTTCCTGTGTATTCGTCTGCTCATAGTGAACCACAAAGGCTAGCATTCATAGCGAATGCAGATACCGTCTGGCTAGGTAGATGGGGCGTACTCACAAACTTGAAGTTCTCTATGAAAATGGCTGTGATAGGAGAAAACTGAGGATGGATCAACAACATTGTAGTTACTCCACAATACTAACCTAATTGACAGAGTAAAAAGAAGGAAGCCTGTACAGAACAAAATATTGAGGCAAAGCAAATAACTTCTTGTCCTGAATACAAAGCGTTATGTTTGGGGCAAATCCAATACAACACATTACAGAGTACTAACCTCAATATTTTCAAGCATAGTGGTGGCTGCATCATCTTATGGGTATGCTTGTAATTGTTAAGGACTGGGGAGTTTTTCAGGATAAAAATAAATAAATGGAATGGAGCTAAGCACAGGTAAAATCCTAGAGGAAAACCTGGTTCAGTCTGCTTTCCACCAGACACTGGGAGATTAATTCACCTTTCAGCAGGACAATAGCCTAAAACACAAGGCCAAATCTACACTGTAGTTGCTTACCAAGAAGACAGTGAATGATCCTCAGTGGCCGAGTTACAGTTTTGACTTAAATCTACTTGAAAATCTATGGCAAGATCTGAAAATGGTTGTCTAGCAATGATCAACAACCAATTTGACAAAGCTTGAAGAATTTTGAAAATAATAATGGACAAATGTTGCACAATCCAGGTGTGGAAAGCTCTTAGAGACTTACCCAGAAAGACTCACAGCTGTAATTGCTGCCAAAGGTGCTACTACAAGGTATTGACTGAGGGGTGCGAACACTTTGTCATTACATTTACATTTACATTTACATCATTTAGCAGACGCTCTTATCCAGAGCGACTTACAAATTGGTGCGTTCAACTTATGATAGCTAGTGGGACAACTACTTTTTTATGGGGGGGTGGGGGAGGGGGGGGGGGGGGGGGGGGGGTTGAAGGATTACTTTATACTATTCCAGGTATTCCTTAAAGAGGTAGGGTTTCAAGTGTCTCCGGAAGGTGGTCAGTGACTCTGCTGTCACCATTGCAAATAGCTTTGACTGGGCTGAGCGGGAACTGTGCTTCCGTAGAGGTAGGGGAGCTAGCAGGCCAGAGGTGGATGAACATAGTGCCCTCGTTTGGGTGTAGGGTCTGATCAGAGCCTGAATGTAAGGAGGTGCCGTTCCCCTCACAGCTCCGTAGGCAAGCACCATGGTCTTGTAGTAGATGCGAGTCTCAACTGGAAGCCAGTAGAGTGTGCGGAGGAGCGGGGTGACATGAGAGAACTTGGGAAGGTTGAACACCAGACGGGCTGCGGCGTTCTGGATAAGTTGTAGGGGTTTAATGGCACAGGCAGGGAGCCCAGCCAACAGCGAGTTGCAGTAATCCAGACGGGAGATGACAAGTGCCTGGATTAGGACCTCTGCCACTTTCTGTGTAAGGTAGAGTCGTACTCTGCGAATGTTGTAGAGCATGAACCTGCAGGATCAGGTCACCGCTTTGATGTTAGCGGAGAACGACAGGGTGTTGTCCAGGGTCACGCCAAGGTTCTTTGCACTCTGGGAGGAGGACACAATGGAGTTGTCAACCGTGATGGCGAGATCATGGAGCGGGAAGTCATCATAGGTACACGTCAACTATGACAAAAATCCAGAAAATCACATTGTAGGATTTTTAATGAATTTATTTGCAAATTATGGTGGAAAATATGTATTCGGTCACCTACAAACAAGCAAGATTTCTGGCTCTCACAGACCTGTAACTTCTTCTTTAACAGGCTCCTCTGTCCTCCACTCGTTACCTGTATTAAATGCACCCGTTTGAACTTGTTATCAGTATAAAAGACACCTGTCCACAACCTCAAACAGTCACACTCCAAACTCCACTATGGCCAAGACCAAAGAGCTGTCAAAGGACACCAGAAACAAAATTGTACACCTGCACCAGGCTGGGAAGACTGAATCTGCAATAGGTAAGCAGCTTGGTTTGAAGAAATCAACTGTGGGAGCAATTATTAGGAAATGGAAGACATACAAGACCACTGATAATCTCCCTCGATCTGGGGCTCCACGCAAGATCTCACCCCGTGGGGTCAAAATTATCACAAGAACGGTGAGCAAAAATCCCAGAACCACACGGGGGGACCTAGTGAATGACCTGTAGAGAGCTGGGACCAAAGTAACAAAGCCTACCATCAGTAACACACTACGCCGCCAGGGACTCAAATCCTGCAGTGCCAGACGTGTCCCCCTGCTTAAGCCAGTACATGTCCAGGCCCGTCTGAAGTTTGTTAGAGTGCATTTGGATGATCCAGAAGAGGATTGGGAGAATGTCATATGGTCAGATGAAACCAAAATATAAATTATTGGTAAAAACTCAACTCGTTGTGTTTGGAGGACAAAGAATGCTGAGTTGCATCCAAAGAACACAATACCTACTGTGAAGCATGGGGGTGGAAACATCATGTTTTGGGGCTGTTTTTCTGCAAAGGGACCAGGACAACTGATCCGTGTAAAGGAAAGAATGAATGGGGCCATGTATCGTGAGATTTTGAGTGAAAACCTCCTTCCATCAGCAAGGGCATTGAAGATGAAACGTGGCTGGGTCTTTCAGCATGACAATGATCCCAAACACACCACCCGGGCAACGAAGGAGTGGCTTCGTAAGAAGCATTTCAAGGTCCTGGAGTGGCCTAGCCAGTCTCCAGATCTCAACCCCATAGAAAATCTTTGGAGGGAGTTGAAAGTCCGTGTTGCCCAGCGACAGCCCCAAAACATCACTGCTCTAGAGGAGATCTGCATGGAGGAATGGGCCAAAATACCAGTAACAGTGTGTGAAAACCTTACAGAAAACGTTTGACCTGTGTCATTGCCAACAAAGGGTATATAACAAAGTATTGAGAAACTTTTGTTATTGACCAAATACTTATTTTCCACCATAATTTGCTAATAAATTCATTAAAAATCCTACAATGTGATTTTCTGGATTTTCTTTTCTCATTTTGTCTGTCATCGTTGACGTGTACCTATGATGAAAATAACAGGCCTCTCTGATCTTTTTAAGTGGGAGAACTTGCATAATTGGTGGCTGACTAAATACTTTTTTTCCCCCACTGTATGTCTGCCAGACATGCAGAGAATCGATTCGCCACCTGGTTATCAGAAGGGGGAAAGGAGAAAATTAATTGTGTGTCGTCTGCGTAGCAATGATAGGAGAGACAATGTGAGGATATGACAGAGCCAAGTGACTTGGCGTATAGAGAGAATAGGAGAGGGCCTCGAACTGAGCCCTGGGGGACACCAGTGGTGAGAGCACGTGGTGCGGAGACAGATTCTCGCCACACCACTTGGTAGGAGCGACCTGTCAGGTAGGACGCAATCCAAGAGTGAGCAGCGCTGGAGCTGCCCAACTCGGAGAGGGTGGAGAGGAGGATCTGATGGTTCACAGTATCAAAGGCAGTGGATAGGTCTAGAAGGATAAGTGCAGAGGAGAGAGAGTTAGCTTTAGCAGTGCGGAGAGCCTCCGTGACACAGAGAAGAGCAGTCTCAGTTGAATGACCAGTCTTGAAACCTGATTGGTTTGGATCAAGAAGGTCATTCTGAGAGAGATAGCAGGGGAGTTGGCTAGAGACGGCACGCTCAAGAGTTTTGGAGAGAAAAGAAAGAAGAGATACTGGTCTGTAGTTGTTGACATCGGCGGGATCAAGTGTAGGTTTGAGGAGGGGTGCAACTCTCGCTCTCTTGAAGATGGAAGGGACATGGCCAGCGGTCAAGGATGAGTTGATGAGCGAGGTGAGGTAAGGGAGAAGGTCTCCGGAAATGGTCTGGAGAAGAGAGGAGGGGATAGGGTCAAGCGGACAGGTTGTTGGGCTGCCAGTCGTCACAAGTCGCAAGATTTCATCTGGAGAGAGAGGGGAGAAAGAAGTCAAAGCATAGGGTAGGGCAGTGTGAGCAGGACCAGCGGTGTCATTTGACTTAATATATGAGGATCGGATGTCGTCAACCTTCTTTTCAAAATGGTTGACGAAGTCATCCACAGAGAGGGAGGAGGGAGGGGGAGGAGGAGGAGGATTCAGCAGGGAGGAGAAGGTGACAAAGAGCTTCCTAGGGTTAGAGGCTTGAATTTTAGAGTGGTAGAAAGTGGCTTTAGCAGTGGGTATTGTGTGTAGATGGGTGAGATGTTTTTTTTTAATATGTACATTTTGAATTTAGGTTAACACAACAAAATGTGGAATAAGTCAAGGGGTATGAATAATTTCTGTAGTCACTGTAGGTCTTTGAGATGAGGAAGGGGGTTTTGGTTGTGCTTAGAGACAGTAAATGTAATGCTGTGTATGAGAACGATTGAAAGGTGCCATTTCTCCTCAATCTACCATACACAACAATACATACTGTGTCAGAACTGCCCTCCTAAGACTTTTCACACCTTCTGCAGCCCCCCAGTCCATTCACTTTGTTGACTGATCTTTCCTCTCAAAAGCAGCTCATAATGTCCCTCATTGTCCCTAAACAATACACTAGTCTGTTTCTAAACACTTAGGTCCCAATCGGTGGACACCTTTACCAACAAAGGCGTGCTGCCCTACGTCCCTTCCACAAAAAGTGTAAAATGGTAACACCACAACCATGTCTTGACGTGCAGTACCAGCAAATCTTCTGCAAGAGGTCCAAACAGTTGGTGGTTAAGGTCTACGAGCCCTACACCCCTTCCGGCAGAGTCTTATCCAGCTGGTCGTACACCGCAGACAGGACAAGACCATTCGCCACAAGCACAAAGAGTCTCAACTTCCACAGCCCACCATGCCAAACACCTTTGCCAGTGTACCAAAGCCGGATAAAGGACAGTGCGTCTCAGCATAAGATCATGTAGAACCATCATAAAATTAATATGGATATTTTCTATCAATCCTCAAAATCTGTCTGCCTATATGATTTCTCAGAAGAAATGTATATGCTATACTGGGCTCTGTAGCATGAAACAGATGTTAGACATTCAGATATATCCCCCCAAAAATGTATTTGTCAAAATCTAAAATACAGGGGAGTGTACAATATTTAATGTTAACTCAAAAAGAGAACTGGGTATTGAACAAGAATGTTATATAGTAAAAGTATGAACAGCGTAGTACAGTTCAGTGTGTCTCAGGTGTAGTAAAGTGCAGAGAACTGTAGCTACAGATTGTTACACCAGATAATTTGATTTATCCATTACTGAGAGTTACAGTATAGGTACTGTTTGGTGTAGCACAGAGAATATTCGACCAACCTTAGCATGGCAATACTGTCTTCGTCCTCGAAACAGGAGTCTCATAAAATGTCTGTGTGCAGTTGCAGGGGGTCCATTTGAATTTAGGAAACTTAAAAATTTGTAACAAGCATTCGTTGTTACACCCCTGTAATTACAGACTGCAATTACCACCAGTTACATGTTGTTATTACAGTGTAACTATGAATTATTACAATTCATTACAAAACTTGTTACAGTGTAATAAGGACCCCTTAAAATGAAGCGTTACCAAAGCTTTGATACGAGCGTGATTCACACAAAGGTTAGCATCAACCTTTTACGGACTGGCTGAGAATTGCAAGCCCTTAGCTGTTAATAGTCACATAGTCACATAGTCACAGAGCTGACAGAAAGTTTGCTACAGTGCTACTCTTTTAGATTTGTCAGACTCTGATTTTTGTTACTGTTGTAAGGACAACATAGACGTGACAGATATGCCGGTGCCGACAGTATGCCGGTGCATGCATGTCCAACCTTTGAGAAAACTGTAGCCATTGTTTACATTATTAAATCACCTGAGTGATATTAGGGCACATTCATTAGAATCCTTGACAACTGTCACTAAAACATATAGAGGAATTGGTCCCACTTTAAACAAATACAACTTATAAAGCCTCTATACACTGAGTATAAAAAAAACATTAAGAACACGTGCTCTTTCCATGACATAGACCAACCAGGTGAATCCAGATGAAAGCTATGATCCCTTATTGACATCATTTGTTAAATCCACTTCAATCAGTGTAGATGAAGGGGAGGAGACAGGTTAAAGATGGATTTTTAAGCCTTGAGACGATTGAGACATGGTTTGTGTAAGTGTGCCATTCAGAGGATGAATGGGCAAGACTAAAGATTGAAGTGCCTTTGAACGGGGTATGGTAGTGGGTGCCAGGCACACCGGTTTGTGTCAAGAACTGCAACGCTGCTGTGTTTTTCACGCTCAACCGTTTCCCATGTGTATTAAGAATGGTCCACCACCCAAAGGACATCCAGCCAACTTGACACAACTGTGGCAAGCATTGGAGTCAACATATGCCAGCATCCCAGTGGAACGCTTGAGGCTGTTCTGAGGGCAAAAAAGGGGGTATACTCAGTGTAAATGCTTCACAAACCACTTATAAGCGTTTGTCATACACTATGACCAACATGGGCACATGAACCTCCTCTCTCAACAGGGTACTATCTCTCCCTAACTAAAATTAGCCATTCTTCCCCACACAGAGAAACATGCAGAGCTACCAGTTCTGCTGCACGCTGGCCAACTTTCGCATCGAGAAGATTGGCGGGGCCAGTTCAGCAAGGTGTACAAAGCCACCTACCTTCCAGGTGGCTCTGAAGAAAGTCCAGGTACTGTAATTAGTCCTTCTTTTTTGGGTGAATCTCAATAGTCTAAAGTGGCTTCTTTTCCTTGTATTCTCTCCTTCATTTGCACTGATCTGTAAAACGATATGGTGAATACCTGGTTATACCAGACAAGCTATTTGTTTTACCGACATAGTCCTTTCACATCAGCGCTGATTAAGGACTATTGAGATACATCCAATGGTTGGCAAAGGCTGTGTTCTTCACTTCTGGTCCTGGAAGGCCACAGCTATTGCAGGTTTTTGTTCCCACCTATTGCAAGAAATCACTGAACCAAGTTGGTAAGTGCTTGGAACAGAGGCCTGCACACAGAGGCCTGTTATGTGTTAAAGATAGCTGAAGATTCTGTGGGCTACCTCTGACAATACAGTCAGATAACGGTAATAACTTCTCTGTTCTCCTCTTTAGATATTTGAAATGATGGACGCCAAGGCTCGCCAGGACTGCATCATGGAGATTGACTTGCTGAAGGTAAAGTTGATGGAATGCTTTTTAACTGCCTAAGTCTCTTCATGGTTTTCTTATAATCTGGTTTAACATTGGGACACACTTGAAATCAGTAGGTATAGGTAAGGAAACATTTTAGAGATGGGGGTGAGTAGGGCTGTGGCGGTCATGACATTTTGTCAGCCGGTGATTGGTCAAGCAAATAACTGCAGGTCTCACGGTAATTGACTGTTAATTAACATAAACACATTTAGCATCTCCTGGCTTCCACACATAGCCTACACGCCACTGTTGCAGACCTTTGGACCATCTACATTTTAAACAGTCTAATAAATCCATGTAATATAACCTTCACCATCACAATAAATCCATTATTTATTTTAGGCAGGTCTAAAGAAACATGATATGAAGAAAATGTAGTCTATTTCAGAAGAACAGAATAGCATACTCTGCATTGTCCTTATGTTAGACCCTGATCTGGCTATGCCATATGGCTGTGGGCTACACTAGTTCATTTAGCAGACAATATTTGATTAGAATTACGTGGCATTCTTTTATAGTATGAAGAATACAATTGAACATAGCTGACTAAAATAGAAAGGATATTTTCTCCAAACGATTTGAGGGAGTGTGCATGCATTGAGCGGTTAACAAATAAACAGGTACTCCTATATGCTTAATTTAGAGTTATTTATGTAACTTTAGTTGTGATACAAATGTTGGGCTATATGTTCTGATTTTATATACATTCTAAGGCTGCATGAGCAAATCCAATGATGATTTGAAAAAAGTTGCATGAAAGGCATAAGCTCTGCTTTGTTTTTTTGCGCATTACACACTTCATCAGTCTCGCATTCACAATTTGACAAGCACTTGATAATGCCTCTAATTTCCCGGCTGCATCCCCTTTGTGTGGCCATAATCCCCCCAAAGAAATCCATGCCTTTTGCAGCAAGTGGCCATTGTGCCTTTGGGCTGAATATAATAATTATAATTCCCTTCTCCCCGCTGCGTGTCGAAGCACCTCTCACTCACATGGCTCTCAGTCACGTGATCGGTTCTTCTCACAGGCTATAAGTGAAGACAGACACATTGGGGGCGCAACTGCACGCGTCCTTATCCAATTCCGAGGCGCATATTGAAGATATTGGAAGAACTGTCCACATTTACTTTTCGTCAGCCAACAAGATGAGTAGGCCTAGCGAACAGCAAAAGCACTAGCCTATGTCAATCTACTGTCCCCGATAGTACAAAAGTTGACTTATTCAATTCTGTGCGATAAATAAATATTCCAAACATAGTCCGGGACAGTTGTGGGATGCGATAGATCCCAAATTAATACAACCAATAGCATCAAAAAAACTGTTTTAAGCAATGAGCCTGATGCAACAAATGATAACATATAGCTTAAAATGTTGATAAACTATTAGGCTATTTCTTCACATTATAAGCGCAGCAATGAGCACATGGCAGTAGGCTATAAGCATGAATGTTCCATTAGCAGGAAAACACCATTCTCAAAAGTGATCACAAATGTGATTATGCATGTAATGCTTTTATTATAAAGGTGCATTTTTATGGTGAAAATAATCTTCCCCAAAATTGAAACTCACGCGCTGCATATGTATGCCATTTAGGCTCTACACCCATTGTAAAGTGGATTAATGTGCTTCAATTTAAGAAGTTATTTGGCCACTTTAGTTGTTATACAAACCTTATCAGAACATATAAGCCTATGGGCTACGCTACATGAGGTGTGCGACTATGATTTGAAAAGGTCGCCAAAAAAAGAATGCGCTTTTTGCCTTAAGCTGGGCATCATTCACAAGTGATAATATATAATTCACAAGTTATAGGCTAATATTGTCACCCATCACACTAATATTGATTTAATCTTGACTTTATATATACTAAATAATATACAGTGCATTCGGAAAATATTGAGACCCATTGACTTTTTCCACATTGTGTTACGTTACAGCCTAATTCTACACACAATACCCCATAATGACAAAGCGAAAACAGGTTTTTAGAAATATTTGCACATTTATACAAAATAAAAAACAGAAATACCTTATGTACATAAGTATTCAGACCCTTTGCTATGAGACTCAAAATTGAGCTCAGGTGCATCCTGTTTCCATTGATCATCCTTGAGCTGTTTCTACAACTTGATTGGAGTCCACCTGTGGTAAATTCAATTGATTGGACATGATTTGGAAAGGCACACACCTGTCTATATAAGGTCCCACAGTTGACAGTGCATGTCAGAGCAAAAACCAAGAGGTCAAAGGAATTGTCCGTAGAGCTCCGAGACATGGTTGTGTCAAGGCACAGATCTGGGGAAGGGTACCAAAAAAATTCTGCAGCATTGAAGGTCCCCAACAACACAGTGGCCTCTATCATTCTTGAATGGAAGACGTTTGGAACCACCAAGACTCTTCCTAGAGCTGTTCGCCCGGCCAAACTGAGCAATCGGGTGAGAAGGGCCTTGGTCAGGGAGGTGACCAAGAACCAGATGATCACTCTGACAGAGCTCCAGAGTTCTTCTGTGGAGATGGGAGAACCTTCCAGAAGGACAGCCATCTCTGCAGCAGTCCACCAATCAGGCCTTTAGCAGTCCACCAATCAGACGGAAGCCACTCCTCAGTAAAAGGTACATGACAAGCGTCACGTCTGGAGGAAACCTGGCACCATCCCTACGGTGAAGCATGGGAGTGGCAGCATCATGCTGTCGGGATGTTTTTCAGGGACTGGGAGACTAGTCAGGATCGAGTGAAAGATTAACAGAGCAAAGTACTGTAGTGGAATTTTACTGTGTCTCTTTCTGCTTACAGTGTCTCACACTTATCATTCATGTTTGAACTGTTGCATAGTTAGAAATGCGCCTGCCATAGACAGACAGGGTGTCTGAGGTTTTCTCTCACAAGGTCGGCTCAGCGGGAGTGGAAATATTGGCTGAACACACAGACAGTGGTTGCCAGGTGTTCTCCTCCTTTGCAGCCGGTCTCTGGGAGCAAACACTTTGCTGAGAAAGGATGCACTTGGCTATCTTTGTGTAACCCAAAGTGATAGTATAACATTGCTGAGGGGCAAGTATCTCCTCAGAGCTTCTGACTAACTTGTACATGAAGTGCTGTTTGTCTGTAATCTCTCTGCTGGCGTGAATAAACTAATTCATTTAAGCTTGACTTTGGGGCCCTTAGTGGTAATTTCCACGACAGTACAGCAAGATCCTTGATGAAAACCTGCTCCAGAGTGCTCATGTCCTCAGACTGGGGCGAGGGTTCACCTTCCAACAGGACAACAACTCTAAGCACACAGCCAAGACAACGCAGGAGTGGCTTCGGGACAAGTCTCTGAATGTCCTTGACTGGCCCAGCTAGAGCCCGGACATGAACCCGATCGAACATCTCTGGAGAGACCTGAAAATAGCTGTGCAGCGACACTCCCCATCCAACCTGACAGAGCTTGACTCGTGACCGCCGGTGTTGCGGTAATACGGTCACCGTAACAGCCCTAGGGGTGAGAGTTTGAGGGAGTGGATTGAATGCCAATAAGAGTTTTAGTATGGCCCTTTGTTCCAGGAGCGGAAGACGTGTGTTTGTGCAGCTTTTGTGTGGTTGTGACTGAGTGGGGCTTTATGTGTTTCTAGTTAGTATTTCGCACATTGTAATGTAAACACAGACTCATTGACACACGCACACTTACACAGTGGCATATACTGTATGCATACACACACATACACACACACACACAGACACACACACACACTTATATGCATAAATATGTAAGTGGAATATCGTTATAGGCATATATTTTTCCATCTGTCTGTTCATGTGTGTGTGTTACTCTTTGTCATTGTATGGGATCAAAGAGAGCCTCTGTTCTGACACTCCAAGTGTGTTTGCTGTCATCTCACAATGGCTGGGAAGTGTGTGTATGTGTGTGTGTGTGTGTGTGTGTGTGTGTGTGTGTGTGTGTGTGTGTCATCGCATGGTGTGGGTGGAGGGACTGTTTAGCGTCGGCTGTGCTGTGTGTGTGTGTGTGTGTGTGTGTGTGTGTGTGTGTGTGTGTGTGTGTGTGTGTGTGATCGCAAGGTGTGGGTGAAGGGACTGCCACAGACAAAGTGATGAGTGTATAAGAAGGAGAGGAAGAAGAAGAAAAAGGAGGGAGGGAGGAAGGATGAGGCGGTGGCCCTCCACCTCACACACACTGTCAGGTTCTTGATCCCGCCTGCTTGTCACTTTAACGACCCGTCAAATCACACACGCCTCATCTGCTGCTTGTTCCGCCTCCCGGAGTTATTGGCGGCTGGGGTTTTAGTGGCCGCATAAATTGAAGTGGATTGTTGTTGTTTTTTAAGAGAGGACAATGACACGATCTTCATCATCATCAGTGGGGACTCAGGTGACATTGTTTTGGTGCGGAGTGCCAGCGGTAAAGTGGAGTTTATGACAGGGACTTGAAGTGTATGGGCAGAGACCCGTCAGGAAGACTGGATCAGATTACCATACGAGCAGTGTGTGTGTGTGTGTGTGGCTGCCGTGATAAAGGAGTGCAGCACAACAGGCAGTTAGGCACACATGTACAGATGCACAAACACACGCACACACACACACACACTGCTATATAAAGTGGGGGGAAAAAGTATTTATTCAGCCACCAATTGTGCAAGTTCTCCCACTTAAAAAGATGAGAGGCCTGTAATTTTCATCATAGGTACACGTCAACTATGACAGACAAATTGAGGAAAAAAAATCCATAAAATCACATTGTAGGATTTTTAATGAATTTATTTGCAAATGATGGTGGAAAATAAGTATTTGGTCACCTACAAACAAGCAAGATTTCTGGCTCTCACAGACCTGTAACTTCTTCTTTAAGAGGCTCCTCTGTCCTCCACTCATTACCTGTATTAATGGCACCTGTTTGAACTTGTTATCAGTATAAAAGACACCTGTCCACAACCTCAAACAGTCACACTCCAAACTCCACTATGGCCAAGACCAAAGAGCTGTCAAAGGACACCAGAAACAAAATTGTAGACCTGCACCAGGCTGGGAAGACTGAATCTGCAATAGGTAAGCAGCTTGGTTTGAAGAAATCAACTATGGGAGCAATTATTAGGAAATGGAAGACATACAAGACCACTGATAATCTCCCTCGATCTGGGGCTCCACGCAAGATCTCACCCTGTGGGGTCAAATTTTTTATTTTTTTTTAACCTTTATTTAACCAGCTAAGCCAGTTGAGAACAAGTTCTCATTTACAACTGCGACCTGGCCAAGATAAAGCAAAGCAGTGCGATAAAAACAACACAGAGTTACATATGGGGTAAAAAAACAAAGTCAAAAATACAACAGAAAATATATATACAGTGTGTGCAAATGTAGCAAGTTATGGAGGTAAGGCAATAAATAGGCTATAGTGCAAAATAATTACAATAGTATTAACACTGGAATGCTAGATGTGCAAGAGATTATGTGCAAATAGAGATACTGGGGTGCAAAAGAGCAAAATAAATAACAATATAGGGATGAGGTAGTTGGGTGGGCTAAATTCAGATGGGCTGTGTACAGGTGCAGTGATCGGTAAGGTGCTCTGACAACTGATGCTTAAAGTTAGTGAGGGAGATAAGAGTCTCCAGCTTCAGAGATTTTTGCAATTCGTTCCAGTCATTGGCAGCAGAGAACTGGAAGGAATGGCGGCCAAAGGAGGTGTTGGCTTTGGGAATGACCAGTGAGATATACCTGCTGGAGCGCAGACTACGGGTGGGTGCTGCTATGGTGACCAATGAGCTAAGATAAGGCGGGGATTTGCCTAGCAGTGATTTATAGATGGCCTGGAGCCAGTGGGTTTGACGACGAACATGTAGTGAGGACCAGCCAACAAGAGCGTACAGGTCACAGTGGTGGGTAGTGTATGGGGCTTTGGAGACAAAACGGATGGCACTGTGATAGACTACATCCAATTTGCTGAGTAGAGTGTTGGAGGCTATTTTGTAAATGACATCGCCGAAGTCAAGGATCGGTAGGATAGTCAGTTTTTACGAGGGCTTGTTTGGCAGCATGAGTGAAGGAGGCTTTGTTGCGAAATAGGAAGCCGATTCTAGATTCTAGATTTAACTTTGGGTTAAAATGGTCACAAGAACGGTGAGCAAAAATCCCAGAACCACACGGGGGACCTAGTGAATGACCTGCAGAGAGCTGGGACCAAAGTAAAAAAAGCCTACCATCAGTAACACACTACGCCGCCAGGGACTCAAATCCTGCAGTGCTAGATGTGTCCCCCTGCTTAAGCCAGTACATGTCCAGGCCCGTCTGAAGTTTGCTAGAGTGCATTTGGATGATCCAGAAGAGGATTGGGAGAATGTCATTTGGTCAGATGAAACGAAAATATTACTTTTTGGTAAAAACTCAACTCGTCGTGTTTGGAGGACAAAGAATGCTGAGTTGCATCCAAAGAACACCATACCTACTGTGAAGCATGGGGGTGGAACATCATGCTTTTGGGCTGTTTTTCTGCAAAGGGACAAGGACGACTGATCCGTGTAAAGGAAATAATTAATGGGGCCATGTATCGTGAGATTTTGAGTGAAAACCTCCTTCCATCAGCAAGGGCATTGAAGATGAAACGTGGCTGGATCTTTCAGCATGACAATGATCCCAAACACACCGCCCGGGCAACAAAGGAGTGGCTTCGTAAGAAGCATTCAAGGTCCTGGAGTGGCCTAGCCAGTCTCCAGATCTCAAACCCCATAGAAAATCTTTGGAGGGAGTTGAAAGTCCGTGTTGCCCAGCGACAGCCCCCAAAACATCACTGCTCTAGAGGAGATCTGCATGGAGGAATGGGCCAAAATACCAGCAACAATGTGTGAAAAACCTTGTGAAGACTTACAGAAACGTTTGACCTGTGTCATTGCCAACAAAGGGTATATAACAAAGTATTGAGAAACTTTGTTATTGACCAAATACTTATTTTCTACCATAATTTGCAAATAAATTCATTAAAAATCCTACAATGTGATTTTCTGGATTTTTTTTCTTCTCATTTTGTCTGTCATAGTTGACGTGTACCTATGATGAAAATTACAGGCCTCTCTCATCTTTTTAAGTGGGAGAACTTGCACAATTGGTGGCTGACTAAATACTTTTTTTTCCCACTGTATATTACCAAAAACAGTGTTATTCAAATTCAATGACAGAGAAGTTTTTCTGTCTAAATGTCAACCAACAGAGACCAGACTAGGGGCTGGATTTAATCCTTATCGCCAAAGTATCGCGGAAGATCCACGTTATAGGTAAATTTTTATTTAAAGGCAATGTTCCCGGCTCAATCGGAAATTACCTTTACATTTTAATGAAGATCTTCCGCTATACGGATTGAATCCAGCCCTAGAACCTGGACTGACACGCATTTTCTTTCTCCTGGTACCTCACAGCAGTTGAGCCACCCCAACGTGATTAAGTACCTGGACTCGTTCGTCGAGGACAACAAGCTCAACATCGTACTGGAGCTGGCAGATGCTGGCGACCTCTCCCAGATGACCAAGGTGTGTGTGTGAGTGAGTGAGTGAGTGAGTGAGTGAGTGAGTGAGTGAGTGAGGAGTGAGGTTGAGTGAGGTGAGTGAGTGAGTGGAAGTGAGTGAGTGAGTGAGTGAGTGAGTGAGTGAGTGAGAGAGGAGATCTCTCCTCCTCTCTCGCTCGTCTCTCTCTCTCTCTTCTCTCTCGCTGCTCTCTCTCTCTCTCTCTCTCTTCTCTCTCTCTCTTCGCTCTCTCTCTCTCTACGCTCTCTCTCTCTCTCTCTCCTCCTCCTCTCTCTCTCCTCCTCTCCGAAGCGAGAGAGAGAGAGTGATTTTTGGGGATGCAATTTTTTTGTGGGATGTTTGTGTGAGAGAGGGATAGGAAGGATAGTCCCCCCAACTGGGGGGCTCTGACATACCCGAACTCTCCTAGCCTCTCTTTGGCTCTAATCGCCTGCACTGTCAAAAAACGGCGCCCGCGCGCTCTCATCCCCCATCACACACACCCTCCACACAATCTCTCTCCCATGCCCACCGCCACCTTCCTCTCCTCATACTTTCCTCATCTGTTCTCTTTCTCCTTCTTCGTCGTCTCCTCATCTTTTTTTCTCTATCCTTTTCTTCTCCTCTTTCCTTCTATCCTCTGCCTCTCTCTTCCCTCTTGCATTTTTCTTCTTATTTGTTCCTAATCTTTGCATGTTGTCCGTCTTTGTCCGTCTTCTTCTCCCTCTCATATCATGTCCTTGTCTGTCCTGTCTCCTCTCATTGCCCCCAAATCATTCATCTTTGATACTTTCTCTCTCGTCCGTGTCCCTTCCCCCAATCCTCATCTCTACTTTTTTCCCCCTTTTCTAACTCTGTTCTTTTCTTCCGCCATTGTTATTCGGGCTCTTCTTTTCTCCTATTCCCTGATTAATGTTATTATTCTCCCTCTTAATTCACTCAAGAGGCACTCACTCTCAGTTCACACAGTTCCATACACAGTTCAATACATGCAAATGTAATTTCGTGACACCTTTCTCTCTCGCAAATTCCCAAAAAGTCAAATCCAAACTTTCCCTTCCCATCTTCATTTGACTTTCTCCTGTCCTTTTCTTTATCAAGGCATCCATTATGACGTAGAAAGATATTCCTAATTCCAACTCTCAACTCAACAATTGGCAGATCACAGTCAAAAACACCTCTTGCTGGGGTCAAAATTTTCATAGCTATCATTAAAATACACTCTTTATTCCAAAAAAACTGAAGAAGTTCAGTGGTGGTAAAAAGCGGAAAAGAAAATAACATTTTGTTGTTTTGGGGCATTTAATTAGCCATTATGTTTTAATTAGGTGCTTGCTCTGGCGCAGGCGGTGTAAACATCTTTTAGGCTGCCTCTGCCCAATGGATTCTCATTACGCACTCAAACAGAGTAGGGTGGGGGCTAAATGTTAATGCACAGATTAATAATTCTTTAGTGTTACACACTATTTTGGGGGCCTGTCTGACATTATCAGGGGTTTTTTGAGAGAGATCATGGAGCGGAAGTCTCATAGGTACACGTCAACTATGACAGATAAATTGAGGGAAAAAAATCCAGAAAATCACATTGTAGGATTTTTAATGAATTTATTTGCAAATTATGGTGGAAAATATGTATTCGGTCACCTACAAACAAGCAAGATTTCTGGCTCTCACAGACCTGTAACTTCTTCTTTAACAGGCTCCTCTGTCCTCCACTCGTTACCTGTATTAAATGCACCCGTTTGAAACTTGTTATCAGTATAAAAGACACCTGTCCACAACCTCAAACAGTCACACTCCAAACTCCACTATGGCCAAGACCAAAGAGCTGTCAAAGGACACCAGAAACAAAATTGTACACCTGCACCAGGCTGGGAAGACTGAATCTGCAATAGGTAAGCAGCTTGGTTTGAAGAAATCAACTGTGGGAGCAATTATTAGGAAATGGAAGACATACAAGACCACTGATAATCTCCCTCGATCTGGGGCTCCACGCAAGATCTCACCCCGTGGGGTCAAAATTATCACAAGAACGGTGAGCAAAAATCCCAGAACCACACGGGGGGACCTAGTGAATGACCTGTAGAGAGCTGGGACCAAAGTAACAAAGCCTACCATCAGTAACACACTACGCCCGCCAGGGACTCAAATCCTGCAGTGCCAGACGTGTCCCCCTGCTTAAGCCAGTACATGTCCAGGCCCGTCTGAAGTTTGTTAGAGTGCATTTGGATGATCCAGAAGAGGATTGGGAGAATGTCATATGGTCAGATGAAACCAAAATATAAATTATTGGTAAAAACTCAACTCGTTGTGTTTGGAGGACAAAGAATGCTGAGTTGCATCCAAAGAACACAATACCTACTGTGAAGCATGGGGGTGGAAACATCATGTTTTGGGGCTGTTTTTCTGCAAAGGGACCAGGACAACTGATCCGTGTAAAGGAAAGAATGAATGGGGCCATGTATCGTGAGATTTTGAGTGAAAACCTCCTTCCATCAGCAAGGGCATTGAAGATGAAACGTGGCTGGGTCTTTCAGCATGACAATGATCCCAAACACACCACCCGGGCAACGAAGGAGTGGCTTCGTAAGAAGCATTTCAAGGTCCTGGAGTGGCCTAGCCAGTCTCCAGATCTCAACCCCATAGAAAATCTTTGGAGGGAGTTGAAAGTCCGTGTTGCCCAGCGACAGCCCCAAAACATCACTGCTCTAGAGGAGATCTGCATGGAGGAATGGGCCAAAATACCAGCAACAATGTGTGAAAACCTTGTGAAGACTTACAGAAAACGTTTGACCTGTGTCATTGCCAACAAAGGGTATATAACAAAGTATTGAGAAACTTTTGTTATTGACCAAATACTTATTTTCTACCATAATTTGCAAATAAATTCATTAAAAATCCTACAATGTGATTTTATGGATTATTTTTCTTCTGATTTTGTCTGTCATAGTTGACGTGTACCTATGATGAAAATTACAGGCCTCTCTCATCTTTTTAAGTGGGAGAACTTGCACAATTGGTGGCTGACTAAATACTTTTTTTTCCCACTGTATATTACCAAAAACAGTGTTATTCAAATTCAATGACAGAGAAGTTTTTCTGTCTAAATGTCAACCAACAGAGACCAGACTAGGGGCTGGATTTAATCCTTATCGCCAAAGTATCGCGGAAGATCCACGTTATAGGTAAATTTTTATTTAAAGGCAATGTTCCCGGCTCAATCGGAAATTACCTTTACATTTTAATGAAGATCTTCCGCTATACGGATTGAATCCAGCCCTAGAACCTGGACTGACACGCATTTTCTTTCTCCTGGTACCTCACAGCAGTTGAGCCACCCCAACGTGATTAAGTACCTGGACTCGTTCGTCGAGGACAACAAGCTCAACATCGTACTGGAGCTGGCAGATGCTGGCGACCTCTCCCAGATGACCAAGGTGTGTGTGAGTGAGTGAGTGAGTGAGTGAGTGAGTGAGTGAGTGAGTGAGTGAGTGAGTGAGTGAGTGAGAGAGAGAGAGAGAGAGAGAGAGAGAGAGAGAGAGAGAGAGAGAGAGAGAGAGAGAGAGAGAGAGAGAGAGAGAGAGAGAGAGAGAGAGAGAGAGAGTTTTGGGGAGATGCAATTTTTTTGTGGGATGTGTGTGTGAGAGAGGGATGAGGAAAGGAGAGTCCCCCATGCTCTGACAGACACGAACTCTCCATAGCCTCTCTGTGGCTCTAATCGCCTGACACTGTCACTCCCCATCACACACACCCTCCACACAATCTCTCTCCTCATCGCTCCACCTTCCTCTCCTCATGACTTTCCTCATCTGTTCTCTTCTCCTTCTTCGTCTGTCTCCGCATCTGTTTTTCTCTACCTCTTCTCATCTCTCTTTCCTCTCCTCTTGCCTCTCTCTTCCCTCTGCATTTTCTTCTTATTTGTTCCTAATCTTTGCATGTTGTCCAGTCTTTGTCCGTCTCTCTTCTCCTCTCATATCATGTCCTTGTCTGTCCTGCTCCTCTCATTGCCCCAAATCATTCATCTTTGATACTTTCTCCTCGTCCGTGTCCCTTCCCCAATCCTCATCTCTACTTTTCCCCCTTTTCTACTCTGTTCTTTTCTTCCGCCATTGTTATGTCTGGCTCTTCTTTCTCCCTATTCCTGATTAATTTTTTATTATTCTCCCTCTTAATTCACTCAAGAGGCACTCACTCTTCAGTTCACACAGTTCATACACAGTTCATACATGCAAATGTATTTCGGGACACCTTTCTCTCTCTGCAAAGTTCCCAAAAAGTTCAAATCCAAACTGTTCCCTTCCCCATCTTCAGTTTGACTTTCTCCCTGTCTTTTCTTTTATCAAGGCATCATTATGACGTAGAAAGATATTCCTAATTCCAAGCTCTCAACTCAACCAATTTGCAGATCACAGTCAAAAACATCTCTTGCTGGGGGCAAATTTCATAGCTATCATTAAAATACACGCTTCATTCCAAAAAAACTGAAGAAGTTCAGTGGTGGTAAAAAGCGGAAAGAAAATAAACATTTGTTGTTTTGGGGCAGTTTAATTAGCCAGATTAGTGTTAATTAGGTGCTTGGCTCTGTGCGCAGGCGGTGTAAACTCTTGTTAGGCTGCCTCTGCCAAATGGCTTCTCATTACGCACTCAAACAGAGGTAGGGAGGGGGCTAAATGGTAATGCACAGATTAATAATTCTTTAGATGTTACACACTATTTTGGGGGCTGTCTGACATTGAATCAGGGGTTTTTGAGAGAGAGTGTGTAAGGGGAATACAGGCTTTCCTTGCAGCTCTGTTTCTATCTCCCTCTCCTGCAGTCCTTTAGGAAAAAAGAGGAGGCTCATCCCGGAGAGGACAATATGGAAATATTCTGTCCAGCTGTGCAGTGCCCTGGAGCACATGCACTCCCGTAGAGTCATGGTAAACAACCGGTACCACTCATTCACTAACTCCTCTTCCTCTCTTCACTTCCTAACTTCTTGGCTTCTTTCTTCTCTCTTTTCTATCTGCCTAATCCCTCTTTCCATTTCTCTCTCTCTTTGATTCAGTCCCACCTTTCACATTCTCTCGCACCTAGGCTATTCATTTCTCCTCTCTTCTTTTCATCTCTCATTCACCTCTCTTTACATCTTTATTCCTTCACCTTTCCCTTTCTCTCACTCACACCCTTCTTTCTCTTCCTTCCTCTCTCCTCACTCACTCACCCCCTTCTCATTCTCCATCCACTATTTTTTATCTCTCTCTCACTACCTCCCCCTTTTCTCTCACTACCTCCCCCTCCCCCACAAATTTCAGCAAAACCTGCCAACCTTTGCCAACTTTTCTTTATACAGTATATTACATTTATTGCCGGCGACAAAGCCTCTACTTTTATTTCCGCCAACCGACCTAGTCATGATTGCGGTTAAATTCTGAATGCTTAGTATGAAATGTAGCTGTAATGCTGAGGCGGCATTACGCTCAGCTCCCATTACTACTATCCTCCTGGTAGTTCTAAACTTTGCGACGTATGTCACTTCACCCATCCCTTCGCGTAGCCCACCACATGCACTGTTTTCTTAACCACAACTGGATGGCTCCATAAAGAATTACTGTGGGAATAAAATCACTGAATGACGAAAATATTGGAATAAAGCAGGGTAATGCAATTGAAGGCATCAAATGATTGCTTAGGCCTATTGAAACTCCCAAAGTCATCCAATTTAATACATTTCAAGCAATAGCCTACCCGTGTGTGGTCAACTATTTCAGCACCATTTCGTGCTGTTTTGGGGACTCGTCTTGATAAATCAATCAATGTCAGATTTTTATTTTCACGAAATCTCAGTTTGGATATTGGTTAAGCTACATTTAGGCTGTGTAAATGTTAGCTAAATTGAGGTGAGTGCGGCTCATGATTATCTTGTCTAGTTGGCTCATTTATTAGCACTGATCAGAATATTTTGCCAACACTTTATTAGTTACAGTATGTAACTTATCAGGTGGATTATTTTGTTCTTCACTCGCAGTCGCTTAGTAGCCTAGACCTACTCTCGACCAAAAGTCTGTGACTTGTCTTAATCAATCAATGTGATTTTGTTTAACTGAATCTCCATCTGTATAATCAGTTAATTCTTTGGCTGGGTAAATACAGTGGGGAGAACAAGTATTTGATACACTGCCGATTTTGCAGGTTTTCCTACTTACAAAGCATGTAGAGGTCTGTAATTTTTATCATAGGTACACAAACTGTGAGAGACGGAATCTAAAACAAAAATACAGAAAATCACATTGTATGATCTTTAAGTAATTAATTTGCATTTTATTGCATGACATAAGTATTTGATACATCAGAAAAGCAGAACTTAATATTTGGTACAGAAACCTTTGTTTGCAATTACAGAGATCATACTTTCCTGTAGGTCTTGACCAGGTTTGCAGACACTGCAGCAGGGATTTTGGCCCAATCCTCCATACAGACCTTCTCCAGATCCTTCAGGTTTCGGGGCTGTCGCTGGGCAATATGAACTTTCAGCTTCCTCCAAAGATTTTCTATTGGGTTCAGGTCTGGAGACTGGCAAGGCCACTCCAGGATCTTGAGATGCTTCTTACGGAGCCACTCCTTAGTTGCCCTGGCTGTGTGTTTTGGGTCGTTGTCATGCTGGAAGATCCAGCCACAACCCATCTTCAATGATCTTACTGAGGGAAGGAGGTTGTTGGCCAAGATCTCGTGATACATGGCCCCATCCATCCTCCCCTCAATACGGTGCAGTCGTCTTGTCCCCTTTGCAGAAAAGCATCCCCAAAGAATGTTTCCACCTCCATGCTTCACGGTTGGGATGGTGTTCTTGGGGGTTGTACTCATCCTTCTTCTTCCTCCAAACACGGCGAGTGGAGTTTAGACCAAAAAGCTCTATTTTTGTCTCATCAGACCACATAACCTTGTCCCATTCCTCCTCTGGATCATCCAGATGGTCATTGGCAAACTTAAGATGGGCCTGGACATGCGCTGGCTTGAGCAGGGGGACCTTGCGTGCGCTGCAGTATTTTAATCCATGACGGCGTAGTGTGTTACTAATGGTTTTCTTTGAGACTGTGTTCCCAGCTCTCTTCAGGTCATTGACCAGGTCCTGCCGTGTAGTTCTGGGCTGATCCCTCACCTTCCTCATGATCATTGATGCCCCACGAGGTGAGATCTTGCATGGAGCCCCAGACCGAGGGTGATTGACCGTCATCTTGAACTTCTTCCATTTTCTAATAATTGCGCCAACAGTTGTTGCCTTCTCACCAAGCTGCTTGCCTATTGTCCTGTAGCCCATCCCAGCCTTGTGCAGGTCTACAATTTTATCCCTGATGTCCTTACACAGCTCTCTGGTCTTGGCCATTGTGGAGAGGTTGGAGTCTGTTTGATTGAGTGTGTGGACAGGTGTCTTTTATACAGGTAACGAGTTCAAACAGGTGCAGTTAATGAGTGGAGAACAGGAGTGCTTCTTAAAGAACAACTAACAGGTCTGTGAGAGACGGAATTTTTACTGGTTGGTAGGTGATCAAATACTTATGTCATGCAATAAAATGCAAATTAATTACTTAAAAAATCATACAATGTGATTTTCTGGATTTTTCACAGTTGAAGTGTACCTATGATAAAAATTACAGACCTCTACATGCTTTGTAAGTAGGAAAACCTGCAAAATTGGCAGTGTATCAAATACTTGTTCTCCCCACTGTATGTGTTTGTGTAAGGTGGAGTAAATAAAACCCTTAATACGTATTCCTGCGCCTGTCTAATCATTATACAACATGACATAAGCTAAATAGTTGTAATTGTTTTTAGAAGTTCATACAAAGGATCATTTTGATATTTGATTTTGAAGACCCCTTGAAGTATAAAAAATAAATATACACAAATTATTTGATGAACATTTTTATTTGTTCTTACTGTTATTAGCCCATACAAATGCATTGAATAACAGATTAACTACATCGGACAACAGATAATAAAGCAAGTTTGTTCTGAAGTGTCTGTCCTATATCTGAGAGACATAAGAAAGATCAGGAAACATTTTTTTTTTTGTACATGTATTTAATCCTTTTTTTTTTTGTCACTAAACAATCTCCATATATACTTCCATTAATTTTTTCAACTGGTACCGGGGGACCTTCAGACGAGTCTTGTGAGGCCTGTGGGCATCTTAGAGCAAAACAACCAATATGTACGTGAGAGTCTCATCTTTCCACTAAGGGGTCATATTAACGTGAATCCCAAATGGTTCAGACGCTACAGACAGAAGTTGGCAGATCGGGTGTACCGACTTCAGACGAGTCCCATCAGGCCTGTAGGCGTCCTAGAGCACTTTAAAAAATGTTTTTATTTAAAAAAAGAAACCCCTAAACACACCCCTCCCCTAATTGGAGTAAATTAATGGACAACAATACTTCCAGCTTATACATCCTATATACTGTACATTTTACGGACACAGTATACTTTACATTAGTTATATTATTTTAATGCTAAACTTTTAAACACTTCAAAATTTGGTGTTTGAGAAACATGGATGAACGTCTAATTCTGACGTCAGACTGTGAGAGCTTGTTGAGGAAATGTGTTTCCTAGGTAGGTGAGTGAGTTCTCTGCTGGGAGTGATTCAGGTCAGAGTAGGTACAGGAAACAGATTGTTGCCATTACATCAGCTCCAGCCTTGCCGCAGGTTAATCTCTCACAGGAAGAGGTGAGGCTGGTTCAGAGGCAGTCAACAACACAATCACCGGCCGGTCAGATCGGTGACACTACACTTCCCACTCACACAATCGAGGGAATGGTGTTGCCATAGCCAACTATACCGGGGACAAGTGCCAACGCAGGGTCCTTAGGTTGAGAAAGACTCACCTAGGAGATGTAATTAATTTATCATCTGAAATGAATATAAAACGACCATGTCAATGCAGAGAGATTAGATGTCTATACTATATGATAATCCCAGTATTGTTAACAGCCAGAGCTCCCTTAAAAGTGAATTCTATCTCAATGGGACTCATCTGGATAAAGAAACAATAAAAAAATAACTGACTGTCTGTTCTCTCTCTCTGTGACAGACATCAAGCCAGCCAACGTGTTCATCACAGCTACAGGAGAGGGACTGGGACGCTTTTTCAGCTCCAAGACCACCGCCGCACACTCCTTAGGTAACACACACACACACATACTCAGGAACGAAGACACACAGGAATACAGAAACACAGAAACACACACACAGATGCACAGAAACATACACGTGCACATACACGTACACGCACACACACACACCCTAGGTAACACATGTACAAACACACATAGGCACAAAGTGAGAAAAACAATCATGCTCATATGGTCATACACTCATTCTCAAATGCTCTCTCTCACAGAAAAACACAAACATTTTGAGAAACACAAACACATGCAGGGCTGCATGTACACACAGTGTACATACATGCCTGCATGTACACACAGTGTACACACAATTGCAACACACACACACACACACACACACACACACACACAAGATGCCTCCATCAATAACTTTGGGTATAGCCTCAGAGAGCAGCACCTTTTCTAACAAGCCCTTGCCGGTCTCCTTGGCAACCACTCACAGTGCCATAGCGCCATTAAGGTCGCTGACCTATGCATTTGCATTTGCAAATCTATTCAGTGTCTGCGTCTGCTTTCCCCCTTAAGGTAGAGATGGATAGATGGGATGGCTTTTACGGGGGGTTGGGGCTGGAGCTGGAATGAGTGTTGAGCCAATTAGTGTATGCTGCCTTACGGTTTTGTGGATCGACTTTCACCCAAACAAAAGCAAGCATCAGTGTATTGTCGCTAGTGAGGTGTTTTACATATTGGTAGTGGATCCTTTACATTAGCTGCTGGTTTGGGGGCCCTATTCAATCACAAACTGGCAAAATGATTTGGGGTATATAAGTTAAGTGATTGTTCCTTTGTGATGTACTTTGTATTGTCACTTCTCTATTCCGATCTCTATTGGCAAATCAATGTGAATTGCAGTGTAGCTGTAGTCATCAGTAAAGCTACGTATTAATGATTGCTCAATGATTGCTCAAGCCATGCACATTTTCAAATTAAGATTTCTTGCTAAACAACAGTTGTCTAAAACCCTTTTTGTATCAGTGGGGACGCCATACTACATATCTCCAAAGAGGATCCACGAGGGTGGCTACAACTTTAAGTCATACATCTGGTCCTTGGGATTTCTTCTCCATGAGGTAGGTTTACTGCTTCTAACATACGACCACACACACTTCTGTCCTGTAAACCAGGGTCTCTAACTTCCATCCAGGGGCGCTACTAGGTTTGCAGGTACCTGTTGTTGGTAATTAACTAATCATGATCATCAGTCTGGATCATTGTTAGTTTAATCAAGTGAGTTAGTGCTGGGCTAGAACACAATCCTGCACACCCAGTAGCTCTTTAGCAAGCATTGAAGCATCTGAAACATATAAAAAACCTGAAGCAACACAGTAGTGATGCTGACACAAACTATCAATGAAACCTAATTCATCCAAATCCTGCTTGGCTGGGAGAAACAAAGCTAGATGGAGAGGCCCACTTTGCCTAAGTAATTGTAGGGGGAAAACAGATTATTACTATTCCCAATACAATTCAGTAGAAATTAGACTAAACGCAAGTTAAAATATATTTTGGTATTTTGCAATGTATCGTTTACAGGCAGTTAAAGACTTGTGAATGCTACACATTCCTATGAGCTTTATTATATGTGACACCCTGGTTGTGGTTAGGCATCTATTGGGCACCTGACAAGCCTCATCGTATCACACCTCAGTGCTATAAAGAGAGTCCAGGGATTCTTTTTATTTTTTATGACTGAATGAGTTTTCAAACCAAATATAGAAAAGTGAGAATGTTCCTCATTCTCTTCACTTCAGATGTTAAAGGTTTTTATAGTTTCCCTTCCCACAGTTTCTTTGCTGTACGAATGTGTGTATCTGTGCACGTATCCACATTTCTTGCATATGTCTATATTCTTGTTTGTGCCTAAATTTACATTTTAGTCATTTAGCAGACGCTCTTATCCAGAGCGACTTACAGTTAGTGAGTGCATACATTTTCATACTGGCCCCCCATGGGAAACGAACCCACAACCCTGGCATTGCAAGCACCATGCTCTACCAACTGAGCTACCGGGGACTAAAATGTGTGCGTGTGCACACACGAACATAACAGAAACAGCTCATTCATACAGCTCGCAATTCCATTTTTCTGGAGGCTGACGCCGTGTCAGCATTATATTAAACCGTCAATAACAATGCTCCTTCAGTCAGTCATGGACTTGGCATTCTCTGTTGATAAAGGACAAGGACTGTGTCCCAAATAGCACCCTATTCCCTGTACAGTGCCCTATGGGCCCTGGACAAAAGTAATGCACTACATAGAGATTATAATTCCACTGGAGCAGAGCTATTTAGACCCAGATGTTTTTCAAAAGAAAGTACTGGAGGACTATAGAGACCTGAGATACATAATAATTATCTTATACATGCAGACACCATGATCATCTTCAAAGACCCAGGCCTATTGATCTTCAGATACACGCACGGTTAGAGCTAATATAACCACAATTAGAGCAGAACAGGGTGTGTGTGCGTGTGTGAGAGAGGGTGAAGACAATACATCACTCACACACATCGTGAAAAGAGACCATTGGTTTGGTTAAACAGAAGTGTTAACGCCCGCACTCCAAAGCTCTTCTTCTTTCTGTCTGACTGTGTGCTTGCTTTGAGATTCATCTTTTTTTGTGTTTTGTTGTTGAGGACAGTGCCAATGTCATTGGGGTGAGTTTCAGTCCATTGACGTGCAGAAAAACGGACTATTGATAACAATTATCAGATTCCGCCCTATTAAAATAGAACCATCTCTAACATGCAGGTCCACTCTGCCGCTCTCACATTACCAGGCAACAGGGGGAGAATGAGCGAGAGATAAGAGAAACAAGAGATGAGAGAAAATAAGTAATGATGAAATGAATGATGATTAAATACAGTGTACAAAACATTAGGAACACCTTCCTAATATTGAGTTGTACCCCCTTTTGCCCTCAGAACAGCCTAAATTCAAATTGCCATCGATAAAATGCAATTGTGTTTGTTGTCCATTGCTTATGCCTGCTCATACCATAACCCCACCGCCACCGTGAGGCATCAGCAAACCTCTCGCCCATAGGACGCCAAACACGCTGTCTGCCATCTGCCCGGTACAGTTGAAACCGGGATTCATCCGTGAAGAGCACACTTCTCCAGCTTACCAGTGCCCATCGAAGGTGAGCATTTGCCATATGAAGTTGGTTTTCGATGCCGAACTGCAGTCAGGTCAAGACCCTGGTGAGGACAACGAGCATGCAGATGAGCTTCCCTGAGACGGTTTCTGATAGTTTATGCAGAAGTTCTTTGGTTGTGCAAACCCACCGTTTCATCAGCTGTCCAGGTGGCTGGTCTCAGACGATCCCAACAGGTGAAGAAGCCAGATGTGGAGGTCCTGGGCTGGCGTGGTTACACATGGTCTGCGGTTGTGAGGCCGGTAGGACGTACTGCCAAATTCTCTAAAATGACGTTGAGGCGGCTTATGGTAGAGAAATGAACATTAAATTATCTGGCAACAGCTCTGGTGGACATTCCTGCAGTCAGCATGCCAATTGCACGCTCCCTCAAATCTTGAGACATCTGTGGCATTGTGTTGTGTGACACAACTGTACATTCTAGTGGCCTTTTATTGTCCCCAGCACAAGGTGCACCGGTGTAATTATTATGCTGTTTAATCAGCTTCTTGATATATGCCACACCTGTCAGATGGATGGATTGTCTTGGCAAAGGAGAAATGCTCACTAACAGGGATGTAAACAAATTTGTGCACAAAATTTGAGAGAAATAAGCTTTTTGTGCGTATGTAAAATTTCTGGGATCTTTTATTTCAGCTCATGAAACATGGGACCAACACTTTACATGTTGCATTTATATTTTTGTTCAGTATATGTTCACGGACGTGGAAAAGCTTTGATCGTCAACATATTAGCTTTATTAACAATTACACTTGTCGTTTGTGTTTGAATATTCTTGATGGACTGTAACGTTTTGTACAATAACCAATAGACTGAATGCCTTCTTGTGTCGTCCACAGTTGCGAGACCTGGTCAGCATGTGCATCAGCCCTGACCTGGACCAGTGCCCTGACATCGTGTTTGTCCTTCAGATAGCCAAACAGATGCAGCTGTGGACCTCCAGCAGGAGGCCCCAGATCCCTCCACTAAGCGCCTCAGTCCTCCAAGTGGACCCCCATCCCTGACGACTGAACCTCAGACCACCAGACCCACTGCCAACCTGCCTGGCTTGGTCTCACTGGGTCTCAGAAATCAAGAAACTGATGAGACGATGGAGACTTTGGCATGTCTGGACTAAGCTGTTTTGACTATTATTTGCTTTATATTCAAATGAGGACTTAGGCCTAACTCTATTGTTTTTGTCCTCAATGACCTGGGGAGGCTCTTTGACGGTGGTAATGGGAAATTGTGTTTTTAGACTGTTGCGGTGATTCTGGCAAATGAAGGCGTCTTGTCTGGCTTCTTCACTAACGGGAGAGAGCTCTGTCTCACGATGATGTCACAGAAGGTACTCACATCAGTGAGGCATGCCTTTTTTGACAAGGCAGGGGTTGCTTTCCAAATTGATCCCCTGTTTCTTTCAGGTAAACCATGTGGATTCACTCAATTGTCCTGTGACACGTAGAACCAAAAGCCTAGATACAAATCTCTTTCCGTGCTCTTTCTTTTTTGCTTTGTTTTAGTACACACGTTTACCATTGTTTAGAAATAATGCTTACTTTTTATGTTGCTTTAAATACCTCAGAGCTGTATTTTGCACATCATTGTGTAGTGTCGATTGTGATCCTAAGGAGGAATTTGGTTAAGCGGACTTTGTTTCAAAATTAACCTTACGATACAAGCAAAGCATTTTGAAGTCAACGCTTGGTCCTCCCAAGTCACACCTCTATTGAGTTCTCTGCGACATCATGAGAAGACACTTGCTACCACAACCAAGGAAAGAGGCGCTGATTTGAAATGGACTTCAGGACTTGATGATACAATGTCTTCCTTTTCTAGGACATCAAATGGCATAACATGCCACATTTTACCAGTGCTGATTTGACATACACTATAAAGTGAGGGAAAAAAATGATTTGATCCCCTGCTGATTTTGTATGTTTGCCCACTGACAAAGAAATGATCAGTCTATCATTTTAATGGTAGGTTTATTTGAACAGACAGGATAATGTCAAAAATTTTATGAATTGATTTGCATTTTAATGAGGCAAATAAGTATTTGACCCCCTCTCAATCAGAAAGATTTCTGGCTCCCAGGTGTCTTTTATACAAGTAATGAGCTGAGATTAGGAGCACACTATTAAAGGGAGTGCTCCTAATCTCAGCTTGTTACCTGTATAAAAGACACCTGTCCACAGAAGCAATCAATCAATCAGATTCCAAACTCTCCACCATGGCCAAGACCAAAGAGCTCTCCAAGGATGTCAGGGACAAGATTGTAGACAAGGCTGGAATGGGCTACAAGACCATCGGCAAGCCGCTTAGTGAGAAGGTGACAACAGTTGGTGTGATTATTCGCAAATGGAAGAAACACAAATGAACTGTCAATCTCCCTCGGCCTGGGGCTCCATGCAAGATCTCACCTCGTGGAGTTGCAAAGATCATGAGAACGGTGAGGAATCAGCACAGAACTACACGGGAGGATCTTGTGAATGATCTCAAGGCAGCTGGGACCATAGTCACCAAGTAAACAATTGGTAACACACTACGCCGTGAAGGACTGAAATCCTGCAGCGCCCGCAAGGTCCCCCTGCTCAAGAAAGCACATATACAAGCCCGTCTGAAGTTTGCCAATGAACATCTGAATGATTCAGAGGAGAACTGGGTGAAAGTGTTGTGGACTGATGAGACCAAAATGGTGCTCTTTGGCATCAACTCAACTCGTCGTGTTTGGAGGAGGAGGAATGCTGCCTATGACCCCAAGAACACCCCCACCGTCAAACATGGAGGTGGAAACATTATGCTTTGTAGTAAGTCATGTTTTGCAGAGGGGTCAAATACTTATTTCCCTCATTAAAATGCAAATCAATTTATAACATTTTTGACATGCGTTTTTCTGGATTTATTTTGTTGTTATTCTGTCTGTTCAAATAAACCTACCATTAAAATTATAGACTGATCATTTCTTTGTCAGTGGGCAAACATACAAAATCAGCAGGGGATCAAATACTTTTTTCCCTCACTGTATATACAAAAGTATGTGGATACTCCTTCAAATTAGTGGATTTGGCTATTTCAGCCACACCCGTTGCTGACAGGTGTATAAAATCGAGCACACAGGCATGCAATCCCCATAGACAAACATTGGCAGTAGAATGGCCTTACTGAAGAGCTTAGTGACTTTCAACGTGGCACTGTCATAGGACGCCACCTTTCCAACAAGTCAGTTCGTCAAATTTCTGCCCTGCTAGAGCTGCCCCGGTGAACTGTAAGTGCTGTTATTGTGAAGTGGAAATGTCTAGGAGCAACAACAGCTCAGCCGTGAAGTGGCAAGCCACACAAGCTCACAGAACAGGACCACCGAGTGCTGAAGCGCGTAAAAATCATCTGTCCTCAGTTGCAACACTCACTACCGAGTTCCAAACTGCCTCTGGAAGCAACGTCAGCACAATAACTGTTCGTCAGGAGCTTCATGAAATGGGTCTCGATGGCCGAGCAGCCGCACACAAGCCTAAGATCACCATGCAAAATGCCAAGCGTCGGCTGGAGTGGTGTAAAGCTTGCCGCCATTGGACTCTGGAGCAGTGGAAACTCATTCTCTGGAGTGATGAATCACCCTTCACCATCTGTCAGTCTGATGGACGAATCTAGGTTTGGCGGATGCCAGGAGAACATTACCTTCCCCAATACATAGTGCCAAGTGTAAAGTTTGGTGGAGGAGGAATAATGGTCTGGGGCTGTTTTTCATGGTTCGGGCTAGGCCCCTTAGTTCCAGTGAATGGAAATCTTAACGCTACAGAATACAATGAAATTGTAGACGATTCTGTGCTTCCAACTTCATGGCAACAGTACAGATACAAATTTTTGTACAGATACAGAAGAAAAAAAAAGACGTAAGTAGTACTTTAAAGTATTTTCACTTAAGTACTTTACACCACTGCGTATAACTGACGGTTATGGATAAAGACCGTCATGAAAATAAAATAACTATCAAAACTGGAGAAAAAAAAAATGGTAGAACGAACAGCTGACTGAAGACAGGATGGCCGGGCATTTGTGCGTTTGAGTCCGTTTCTGTTCTAACATGGACTCTATAACGTGATGAAACTTTGTTGCTCCTTGCTGAAACAAGCAAAGTGTTGTAGCAAATTAGTCTTTGGTTGCCTAGGCAACACCCCCCTCCATTCAGCAGCAGCACATGAGGTCTGGAGCGGAGGAGAAAATGTGCATCTTTTTTTTTGCTATTCGAACGGTTATTACGGTGACCACAGTCATTTTAGTTTCTTTACAATACAAAACATACACATACAGACGAACCCAAACATCAACATCACACCTGCCCAGACCCACCTGCTCACACCCCCATATCCAGCGCCCGCATCATTCTCCGCCACATGGCCTCAAACTGCGCCATTTTGTTTCTCTCTGTCGCCCACGCACTCTCAACCCTTAGATAATAAAGCATTTGATCTTTCCATTATGTTAACGATGGAGGATTGGTTGATTTCCAGTTTAGGTACACGTTTTTTCAAGATGATTTACAAGACAAATATCGTCCAACCCATCGGGTACCTCAATGCACCCTCATATGCCATGTCTTGAAATATACAGACAGACGGATTGAAAGTACATTTACATTAGCTTACCAATAACAGTCATCCAAAATTACATTACCATCACAGCCCTAATGTAATTGCGTTTATAGATAATGAAAATGCAGTTGACTGTCTACTTATGACTTCATTCATTGAAGATGTTATGTTAATAGACAAAGATTATTTACTGTGAAATGATTTACATGTAGAAAAAGCAAGATAAGAACAGTTACAATAGTGTTTATCAAATGTCGTGGAAATTCTAATCAATAATGAGGAGAGACAAGGTCAATCACCAATCAGGATATTACTTTATTCAAAACGTATTAATAAGGTAGTAAGTGAGGCTGGTCGACCCAACACTTGAGTGTAGGGTGGAGAGCTCTGACATACACAATACAAAGATATTTTATAGCACGATACCCCCTCTCATTCTACATGACAAACAGCAGATGTGTGGAATGAGTCAAAAGGTTAGGATTTGTATGAAATAAATGAATAATTCACAGAAGACAGTATCTGCTATGAAGACTGTTCTCATTGTATGGAAACCAGGGTTTGGCCCCCAAGACAAGGTTCTTATCAACTATTCATAACAGATCTTGTCCTGGTACCTTACACACAATTCAGTCTATGAAATGCAGGCTCAGTTAGAACAGAGACATATCCCTCTCACAGACCATTAATCATGAAATGGAATGTAGCTGTTGGTTTTATCACCTAGCCATCCCTAAATCAATTGCCAGTCACAGCTTCAGAGTCTCCTCTCAGTTCACACATAATATAATTTCTAAGAACCCTATTCTATTGCATAAAACAGTATTAAACATAATCTTGTAATTTTTCCACCATATTCCCCCATTTTGAGACTTCCGTCTCAACTTCAAAGAAAGGTTTAAAAAGACATTAATATAACTTAACTTAGGCATAAAACAACTTAACTTAGGCATATAAAAAATGACTATATGTTAGTTCATTGAGCTTTTAACCTTAGCATAAATTATCCTTCATTGGGAATGATACAACCATTAAAATATCCTAAAAAAATTATCAGCAATCTAAGTCAAAGTAAATTTTATATCAGTACGAAACAAAATCATCATGCTGATACTGAGCATACTCCCAATTGGTCAGCATGGTGGAAATAACCATTTCCATAACACCATCTGTAGAAACCAAATTGTTGGACAAATCCAGGTAGTGACTCCCGGTTTAAGTAAAAATCCTTCCGTTTAGTGCCTAATGAACATGACTCAGGACCTGCTATAGTTCCTGAGTTTTATCATTATCATCAAAAATTTAATTTGGTAATGGATATAGGTCAAATAGATTAGGATCAGTTTCACTCTCAGGATCAGAGTTCACCCTCTCCATTCACCAGGACATGCTGAGAATAGTGTCAATATCTTTAG